ACCCTGGGCACCCTGCTGGGGGTGAGCTGCTGGAGCAGGGGGTGGGATGAGATGATCTCTAGAGGTCCCTCCCAGCCCCACCATGCTGGGATAATACACTCATCCCTTCAGGAATAATAGAAGCCAAGAAAATTCATCAGGCTCAGTTTAATTAAGAAAGGTGACCAAGGTAAAAATCAAGATTTTTGTTTAAGCCCAAAGGGGCAGGGAGATGAACTAAGCCTTTGCAGGGAGCTTGGGCACCATTTAAAAACACCAAGGGCTCTGACCAAGTATCTGCTACCCACCAGAAGTCTTGGGAAAAGAAAAGAGGGAATGAGCATGGTTAGGAGGGATTACTAGAAGCAGGAAGATATCCTCCAAAAAACTCCACCTGTGTCTAAGAGTAGAAAATAGATCAGCTCAAAGTGACAGGATAGAGGTAAAAAAATAAAACATTTTTTAAAAATCACACGGAAGAAAAAAAATCTTTGAGTAACAAGGTCCAGGGAAGGTTACTGAGGTAGAAGGAGTCCAGCACAACAGGAGCAGGAAGCATGCCAAGGTCTGCAGAGCTGATAGATCACCAGGGTGTAGAAGGGACACAGAGAAAATGAAGAAATGAGGCCATACCAAGAAAACACAGTAATTTTTCTTTTTCCATCTGTGTTCACCAGCAAGGAGCTACAGAGGGTGTAGAGCCCTTCTTCAGCCACCCAAAGCACACATCTCAAACCCACATGCCAAGAGAAGAGGTGTAAGACAAGAAAATAAACACAAGGAAATGAAGCAAGTGCTGCTACCAGACAGGACACAGTTGGCTGCAGAAGTTTCTGGCTTGGAGCTCTCCAGTACTGGGCAGACTGGATGGTGGTTTAACACAATGCTGGGTCTTTTAAGGAATGAGTTTCTTGTGAACTTTTTGTCTACTGGACAGCTGAAATTATTCAAGAACAGCCAATGTATTGATAGAGCTGACAGGCTGCTTGGACTCCTATGAGCCTTGTCACAAGGTTCCTCTGCAACCAAAGAACTGAAGCTGCTCTAAGAGCAAAGGTTCTCACAGAGAACTGCTGGAGTGATGGGAAACAGGAGCCCTGCAGGGGCCTGTGCTGAGGTCTGTGCTGTTCACATCATCTGAGGGTAAGAAAAGGGTGGTCAGTGGTTGATGCCACTTAATTATTCAGGGACATGAAGACAATGGCTGGCTGGGAAGACCTGCAGGAAGATGAGAGAAGCTAAAGGGATGGCAAAGAGCAGCAAATGGAATTTAACATAAATAAAGTGACAGACACAGAGAAAAGCCAAAGTACATAGCAACTGATGGGCCCCAAATTATCCATTCCCAGCAAGCATCTTAACTACCCTCCATCTCAAAAAGGACACAAGAGCTGAAAGTGGCTTGATGAAAGTCAAAACCAATTGACAGTACTGACTGACTGCTATGTGAGGAAGGGCCAAATGATCTAAAGCTCTTCATGTAGAGAAAGAAACGCCAGGAGATTATGGCAAACAACATGGAGATGATGTACTGAAAGACACAGTGAACTGTGGTTTGCTCTTCAAGAACTAGGAGGCAACAGATGTAAGTGAAAAGGGAAAGGGATGGGAGCTCTTCATCTGACTACATATGCTGTGGAATTCCTTGTCTATTCAAAAGAAACCAAACAAAAAAACAAATATTAAGGACCCCAGCCCTGATTCAGGTTTCTGGACTGGATCAGGTCACTGGAGACTGGGAGCATACCAAATTATCATCACACGTTTGTCCCATACTCTTCTGCCACTGAAGACCTTCACTGTTGCCTGACGTCTTGGAAGATACTATGTCAGGTGGGCTAGAATGGACCTTCTCATACTCTTCCCCTCACAATCAGGTTGTTAACATTGACATTAATGAGAACTTTCCAGTATTTGAAGAATTAGGAATTCATCAAGACTATCATCTAGACAATCACTGCACTTGATCCTTTAAAAGTATAAGACCAATTGAAAAAAGATCTGAACTTAAAGAGGCTCAGAAAATGAACCTGTGATGCTGAGAAATCCTATCAGGATAGTTAACATTTGTACAATCTATTAGACAGTTCAGGGCAGGATGACCCATGCTCTAGGAACACAAAATTTTGCCACAAATGCTCCTAGTGGAAGTGCTTGCCAGTGTTCTTCCTGCTTGGTCTGGCTTCCCCCAGGACGACCGGGCAGACAGCAGCAGATCAAACATGCAGAACACAAACTAGGACAGTACTATTTAGGGCACGGCAGCCCCTCAGAGCTTATCCACATGGAGCCAGTGTCCAACATGCTCTACCAGGAGGCACTGAAGCATTAACTCAGGCTGGAAGATGGGAGCTGTTCCCATAACATACCAGCACACATATTTTAACTCTTCAGGAGCAGCTTCGATCTACACCGAACTTCACAGTGTCTGGACAGAACTACTGCAGTCCGTAGAGCTAATTAGGAAATGAAATCAAGCCCTTTGTTTTAATTCAAGCTAGAGGAGGCTGGCTTAGCAAGCTCAGGTTTCATACAGCAGTTCTAGGTGGGACTAAGGAAGAGATCTTAGATCTGGCAAAGGACATCTGCAAAGACGCAAGAGGGGGGAAAATAATTAAGATGCTGAGAATTTTATGGGTCAATTTTTTCAAGGCTATATTGATTTAAACTAGAAATTAGCAAGCCAGGAAGATACATCAGCCCCTCCATAAACATTATTTATAGCAGCATCCCTCGTTTCCCTCTCAGTGTGTGCACACAGGTTTCTGACAATGCCACCCCCTGCTGAGGAATGCTGCAATATTTTCTGTTAATGTTTCCTTCACTGTGAAGGGACTCCTGAAGGTAAGGACTCAGACAGATTTATTTTTCTTTTTAATTTTCATTTTCTAGCCTCCTGTGGACCCCTCTTGCTTGCTGCAGCAGAGTGCTCCTGCTCTCCCCGGGGCAGAACTGCTCCACACGGGCCGAGGGCAGGGCAGAACCCGAGCTCCAGACAGCTCCAGCAGCTGGACCACTTCCCACACTACCCCGCTGCAGAGGATTTAAGACTCCATCCTCCAGGCTTCACTGCTCACTGTCATTAGTACTACCAAAGGAAGCAATTTGCATTAGAATGCAGAAAGCCAGGCCTGCCTGATGAAACCCCTCGGTTTGGGGGAGTTTATCCAGAAGATGCCCTGATCTGCTGCTTAAAATCTGGGCTAGCAGGGAAAGCAGGATTCCCATTCCCCCCCTCTGCTGGGATGCCTGGGGCAGAGATGTCGGGTGAGATGCAGCTGAAGGGCACCTAAGGAAAGCCAATTCTGGGAGGAAAAAGCTGTTTATTTTATTTTGCTCTCGGGCTCTACCCAAACAAGCCCCATCCAGCCCCATTGTTCATCCGCAGCCTCCCCGGCGGCAGCCTGCAGCAGGGACCTTACACAACCCAGCTAGCTCTGTGCTTCTGACCTACATAAACCACTGTCCTGGGCTGGGGGCAGAGGGGGAACCGCCATCCTGCTGCACCTCAAACGGCGCTTCTCAGTGAGAGACATCAATAAATTACAGGCCCTGATTTGATTCCTCAGGGTGAAAGACTCTCCAATGAATCAGGCTGGTGACCATGTTTCCCATGCGCTGCCGAGCCAGGAATAACTAAAGCCTTTTAATTCACACCCTGTGCCCAAACAAGAGCCAGGCCAGGGGCCGGGGCGCTCGCAGGGACGCTCTGAGATGAACGTGTTCCACAGCCAGGGATGATGAAAAGAGAAAAAATAAATCACAGTGCAGTAATAAAGCAGAAGTGTGAATAATTTCACTGTCACTATGTATTAGAGCAGCCTGGGAAGAACATCACATGGGCTGGAACGGGGCATCGATTGGTTACAGATGACATCATGATATGTCAAGGCACGAGCTCAGCTTCTTTTATGCCTGGAATAAAACTGCTCTTGCATTGGACATACTTGAGCTCCCTCTGCTGATACAGAGCCACCCAAACCCAGAGCAGATGGGCCTGCTCCGTGGCTAGGAGCTGCTGCTGCAGCTCTCGGGCATTTATTTTTATTTGGTACTCAATGGTAACGACTCCAACCCCACCACCCTCCACCCCACCTGTAAAACCAGAGAAGGTCTCACGTGGGGAAGGAAGCGAGTCCTGGGGTACAGGAGGCCATTACCTTTCTGCTGGAGAAATGAGCGTGCTTCCCCAGCTTGCTGTTGAGAGCCTCCAGGAACATCTCGTCGGTGACTTTGCCGACGTTCATGCAGGCATCGTCCAGAATGGCAATGATCCCTTTGTGCTGCTGCTCCACCAGGTCCACGATGACCTGGTTGTTGAAGTAATCGATCTGTACAACACAAAGGACAGGTAGATCTGTGGCCTTGGCTAGTGAAAAAGGAGCGTGCCAGTGCTGGCCACAATGACCAGTACCCTGTGACAGAGAATGGGGCCGACTGGGCACAGGAGAAGCAACCAGCTTTCAGCGTGGGGATCACTCACTCAGAACACAGCAGGCTACCCTTCTACCACTACACAGCAGAGAAGGTGACTTTTCAAACAGCTCACAACAGTCTTGAGACCTCTGCTAAAAATCAGCTGCAACAGAATGTGGTTTAAAATGTCTTTTAAAATCCAGCTGTGCACAGTCACCACAGTGAAACCTGCACATCTCAACCTTGGCATTCTGAAGGGAACTTGAACAGGAGAACTCAAGATTTTTACACTTTAATATCTACAACTAGACAAAGTACACCAGCACTCAGAACAGAAACACACAGTGGTCTCTGTGGCACCACAGAGCTGCCATGATTTGTTTTCACTCTGACTTGGAGTGATTTACTTTCCCACACCATGGCAAAGAAAGAAACGTGGGGAGATAATTGGCTAGCTTCTTCCACAGCCTGACCTGCAGGCAGCGAGTCTGACAGCACAGCTGGCATGGACACAGAGGTCCTATCGACTCTGATGGGAGCATACATGTGGAGCAACTTTAGATCTGGGACTTACTGGTACACTGCCCTCAGAGCGACCTCTCCCCCCCCTGCCGAACCACTCACATGTTTCCAGGGAATCCCCTCTCGCTGGTACTCCTCCTGCTCCTGCTTTAGAACCAGCTGAATGAAGAGCTGCTGTAGCTTTTCGTTGCAGTAATTAATGCAAAATTGCTCAAAGCTGCATAAACATAAGAGGGAAAGGTGAGGAGACTTGTGGCCAGGAGAAGGCCCAGCGCTGTGCTTTAACGGCGTGGCTCACCTGTTATTGTCAAATATTTCAAAGCCATAGATATCCAGGACGCCAATGACCGTGTTCTTCCCGTGCACTGTGGTGTCACAGTTCTTCACCTCAATGCCATCGTTGATGTGTGTCACAATCCAGCAGAAGAGGCGCTCGTAGATGGCCTGCCAGGGAGCAAACACTGGGGACTGAGCCTCTGTCTGCCTCTGCTCTGCCTGGCACAGTCACACACAGTGCAACTCAGCCTAACTCAAGGTGCTGCCCTCACCACACAAAGGCTGCAGATACCATCCTGCTCAAAGTGAACAGCTACTGACATGAAGAAAATATTCTATGAAATGATTTTTTTTTCTTTCTTCCAAAACTCATTTACACGAAGCCTAAATCCTACTGAGGTCACTGGGTCCAGTAGTCCCCCTAATTGGATCCCAGGCTGCTTTTCAGCTGCCTAATCACTCCCGTTCCTGAGAATTATTTAACAATATTGAAGAGCAAGTGAGAGGTCAGCTACAGAAACCTAACAAGTGAACACAATGACAGTAAAGTGAACACAATTCCTCTTCACCATTCAGAGAGAAAACGTTCTGTCAGCTTAGCTATCTTCAAAGTCTGCACGTTCAAAATGTACCACAAAGCTGTGCAAACACAGAATCCTGGGAAAAAAAGCTGAGTTAATAATCAAGTATCTTCATAACTTCAACCGTTCTTCCCTTATAATTTGATTTCTTAGCAAAGGAAGGACAATTGTCACTACTTCTGTCATCAGGATCCACCTTTCCAATAAAAAGACAGCACTTCAGGTTTCCAGCCTGAGCTCTAGATGTTACAGTTCCACTCTCAACCCTTTGAATTTAGTCAAAGACTCCTTTAGCAGAACATCCAGCCCTGCAGAACGTACTCCTGGCCTGCAGATCCCACCCCTCTGCCGTGTGGTGGTGCCATGGCCAGGGGAGGGTGGAGATGGTGCTGCTCTGCCACCCCCTGCAGAACGCCAGGGCCTGGTCATTCACAGACACCCACCTGAGGTACAGGTGTCCTGGGTCTCAGCAAGCACTTGCTGCTCCACCCAGGAATCCTCCTGGGACCTCAGTGGTGAAGAGTGTGCAATCACGAAGGCACTTCAGTACTGAATGCCCCCCTCGGGCATCACCATCTTTGCTGCACAACTCAGCCACGAGGCAAAGCAAAAGAATCCTGTGGGAGCAGCTGTCAGAGACAGAAGTGGCTGCAGAGGAAGGGACCCCCCTCACCTTTGCGAAGGCGTCTCTGCCGTAGGTGGCCTCCTGCTCAGTGTGCTGCTTGTCGATGACGTCCCGCCCCGTGGCCACCGTCCGGAAGAGCAGAGCCTTCTCCACCAGGTCAGCTCTGGTTGACAGCAGCTCTGCAATGACTGACACCACCTTGCCATTTTCTATTACAGGTGTATCTCCATCCACAGAGAACTTCAGGTTCCCCTGTAATAAGAAGAAAGAAACAATTTCTCGATCTGTCTTTTATTAATCCAGACTGACAGAAAGATGGACTCGTTCTGGTTGGAAAAGACCTCTAAGATCATCACATCCAACTGCCAACCCAGCATTGCCCACCACTAGACCATGTCCCCACGTGGTGCTGATAGGAACCAGCACACCCCAAGTCCATCCCTACACCAATGGGTCAGGACATCTCCTAACACCTGAGAAAGGTGAGTCTTGAGTATCCACATACCCACAGAGCTCCAGCATCAGTGGAGGCAGCACAGCCTGACCCACAGAAACACATACCTGCTCAGTGTTCAGCTGAGCCTCTGGGAAAAAATGACATCAAACACTTCCAGAGGTTTAATCAAATGCTGCCTCAAGACTGAGGGTCTAGTGGTGGGTAAAGACACTCGGTACACAACCCCTGGATGCAGACTCCTCCAGTGCTGGGCTGCAGTCACTGTACCACCACTGCCCACCGGGGTGCTGTGGCTGTCCTGGGGGAGGTGACAAGCCAGCAGAGCCAACAGGGCTGGACTGACAGTGCCCAGCCACCACAGCTTTGCCCCTGAACACCCCCAGAGCCAGGAGTGAGGAGCACACCACGGCACCCTGTGCAGCAGCCTCCTGCCTGCACGGCCTGGCCCTGCTCTGCCTCCACCCCCGCCCTGGCGCTGGGGCAACCGCTCCAAGGGGGAGCAAGGACGGGCAAGGAGCCACAGTCTCCTCTGCCCTGCTCCTCCTGCCTCTCTCCTCCAGTGAACAGCCGAGTGCCAGGGCCACTGTGCCAGGCAGGAGGTCCCAGGAGGACACAGCTGAAGGAAGGATTTCCTCAGCATCAGAACACAGAACCAAGGTCTCCTGTGCTCACGCCTCCAGCCCGAAGCGAAGCACCATCCCCAGCAAAACCACACAGGGGATGGTGAGTGTGAGGCAGAGCTGGGACAGCAGGATGGTGAGGCAAGAGCCCCCTACCCCTGCTGCCAAACCCACACAACTGCTGCTCAGGACGTGTAACAGCTCCCCATACTTAGTGGTTTGTCTGTTTTGGGATCTGGAATACACAGGAATAAATGGGAACTTCCATCATTACTGCAGCGTCCTCTTTCACCAAGGAATTTCACTCACCACTGGAAGCTGTAAACTCTACACACTTTCCCAGCCAACAGACCTTCCAACTGCTTCTGCAGCAAGAGAATTAGAGCTGCTGGAAGTGCCAGTGTAGCTGCCCCCTGGTGAAGAACAGCCCACCCACACCTGCAGGCAGGGAGCTTACCAAGTGCAGGATGGCTGCCACAATTTTGTAGACAGTCTGAATCTCCTCTTGCTTGAAGCCTATCACTTTCATGGCATCAGCTACTGCTTTGAACTCTGCACCATCATTGATGGAACACTGAGGGGAGAGAGATGTTTGGGACGTTAAGGGCTTAATGGAAGTCAACTGTGAGAAAGCAAAGATTTTTGCAAGGCCATGGGAAATGGATATGGACTTTGCTGTTTTTCAGATGCAAGACACTGTCATGAGATGTCTCAGCTTATTCTGCTGTCCTACAATGTGCTGGAATGCTGAACCCCACACTGCCCATATACTACATATACTACCAGCAATGAGGTACAGGGACCCATCCCAGCATGATTAACCAGTTCAGTGCTTTCCCAGTGGAATTTATTGTGAAAGAGTAGATGCAACCCATAAAAAAAGTGAGAAGACCAGTTACAAGCAGAGCAGTCACAGACCCTGTGAGCAGAAGCTGCAGGGCACTGTTGCAGTGTGCCTCCTGGAGACAGAGGTTTCTGTTACCTCTTTGTCCCCAAACATGGGCACACATCCAGAATTTTCCACCTTTCCCAGGTTGTGGTTGGCTTGGCCACCGCAAGACCAATCCCCTAACACCCACTGGACCCCTGACCTGTAGGTATCCCATCCGTGCATCCTCACAGGACAACACCTTGTGTAAACCCACCTACCTGTTCCAAACCTCTGACCCCAAGGCCCCAGGCTCTGTTGCTTCTCCCCCTGGGGTGGGGGCTGTTTCAGTGCCTGCCTCAGGGGTTTTTGTTTGTTATTTTCATACTATTAAAACCTTTGATTTTGGAGGAATGTGATCGTTGCCCATCCCTCCTTTAATCACCACTGTCCTCCTATTGGCTGAAGAAGAGCACCCTGGAGGTGTTACTAGGGTCCTGCTGGGGGTCTTCTCTTCCTGGGCACAACCAGCAGGTATAAAAACCTCATATTTTTGAAAAGTAATAGGGCACCAGCAGTACACTTCTGGCCACCATCATTCTCAAGATGAACCACTGTCCCACTCCCCTCCCAGTCACTGGAGTTTGTTTTCACTGCAGATGTCTAGAGAAACTGATAAAGGCTTCTTGAGAAGGTCTGTGGGTTTGCTGGCCAAAGAACATCTCAAGAAAGCCATCAGGTAATCAGGGAGACTCTTCCCTGGACCCTGCCTTAAAGGGACAACACTAGGGGCAACTCCAGATGTATTTAAAGTGCTCAGGATCTTCTCATCCTAAAAACTTTATGAGTTTGTTCCCTTCTTTCCTGTGCAGAGGCCTCTTGAGGACAAGTGAGATATGAAGAATGAATGCTTCAGTAACTGAAATGGTCCTATTGTAAAAAAAAAAAATATGAGTCTCTGTGGCTTTTTGGTCCAGAAAGCAGCTGAAGTTACCCACAATGGAGCATGAGAAGTCTGCCACTGGTAACGAGTCAAATATCTATGCCTGCATTTACCACAATGGTGATGTCTCTCCTGCTGCATTTAATTGCCTTTTTAAGCAGGCACAAATGTCGTGCTCACAACCACACCTACACTCTGTCTTCTAGGGCCAGAAGCTCCATTCAGAAGAGCACACTGGTCTCACCTTCCCATATCCATCTCGTGAACACCCCGTCTCAGCTTCTGCCAGCTCAGCAGCACTGGAAATATTTCAAGAAGCACTTAAAATTTGAAGGCAAGTTGCCTGTGACTGCCTGGCAGCACCCTCACCTTTAGCTGTGCTCCAGGACAGATATAGCTGTAGGCAGACGCGTCCTTCTGCAGGTGGAGGGAACGCAGCATCTGGTCAGAACCTCCCTGGAGGAGCTGCACAAAGAGTGTTTGAAGAAACAGTGAATGAAAAAAAATAAAATCCTTCCTTTTTCTATTTTGTATTCATCTGCTCGACAAGCAAAACCATAAACCCATTAATTTACTGCCACAGCAGAATAAGCTGGAGTCTCTGGAGTCACAAGCACCACGGGTGCAATCCAGAGTGTGATGCTGTGGGGCTCTGGCCACCAGAAGGAGGTTCCTAGAGGCCTGTGCTTTTGAGTGACACAACTGTTCAGAAAACAAGCCTGAAGCTCTTCACAGCCCAGACGTGTTTACATCCCTGCCACACAGCAGCTGTGCCTTGGCAAGCACAGTCACCTCCCTGCCCCACACAGAGCCCTGCCAGCTCATGGGAGGTGCTAACGTGTCGTCACGGAGTGCTGAGTAAGTGGGGGGAAAATAAACAAACCTGGGTTCCCCTCACTGCAAAGCTGAGAATAAAGGTTACACTAACAGGCCAACCAATTCCCAAGGGACACGCATGGGAACCACCACACAATATGGAAGATATTAAAAAGAAAACCCCCCTCAAAAAAGAAAGTCTACTTGGTGTCATAAAATGACTTCCATATGGGCTAAAGGCCTCAAGAGAAAATAGAGGGATTAGACTTATTACAAACAAAACAGAGTCAAAGTCCAATATTCTACCATATTTGTTTAGTTAGCCTCCTTTTAAGTTTACAGATGTGTTAATATGGGACTGTAGGACAGAAGAAAATAAATCTTCCCATGCTCCTTCCCTAGACCAGGGCTCTGCAAAGAACCAAAAACCTGAGATCACCCAAGATGCAACAACAAGGGAACCCTTTGCAAAACACAGGAGAGGGTGAAAGTTCTGAAATGCTTTGCCTAACGTGTCTGGGAACTCTGAGAAAAGTCATTTGTTTCAGCAAAGGAAGACACACCTGGTAAAAGGAATGAAAGCTTCGTTCTCCTGGCTGTTGCACAATCACACGAGACTGTGGGGAGATGAAAGACCAAGAGAGTTATTTCTGGAGGTGGACACCTGCCCTGAGACACCATCGCCTCGGTTCACCACTGCTAGGACACCTCCACACTCACCCTATCTCACAGGAAGTCTGGTATGAGCATTATTAGCTAAGCATGACTGTGGAGCCTGAGGTCTACAGTCACAAAACCAGCTTGTGTAACAGCTGCAATGTCCTACTTCCAGCCAGGAATCCTGCCTGGCAGCTGTGGAATTGCTTTCATGGAAGAGTCCAATTAAAACATCATTTTAGTTTCGGACTTAATCACCAGGAATGAAAAACAGGACTGGGTGACTACCACCAGTGGCCACAGTAGCCACCTCACCAACAGGCTGACCAGGGGCTGCATGAGCAGATGCTCTGCTCCAGCACCAGGGTGTCGTGTTAGGGAGCAAGTGACAGCTCCAGCTTCAGAGCACTCATTCCAAATCAGCGTAAAACACCACCAAAAAACTGCAGACTGCAGTAGAAATTCAGTCATCATGCAACATCCCCTTATTTTCTGCTACACAGATCCCTACACAGACACACACAGAGTTAGAACTATGCCTGTTCCTGCTGCAGTGCAAAGTCACCGTCTGTCAGCTGCTTGTGTGCAGCCCAGAACCCCACATGCTTTCAAAACAGAAACACATTTAACTTGGGATTTTATTAATACCAAGAATATTAAACAAATGATCAGGATTTAGGTCACTGTGGCTGCAGCCCCACCCCTTTTCTGCAAGAAAATACCACATGATAAATGTTTGGGTTTGTTGGTGAGGGTTTTTTTAAATAAAATGAAGTGTTTATTTCTGAAAATAGACTTCAGGGAAATAACAGAAGTAAAAAACACAAACAGAAAAGGATGTTGGCAGATGTGGTCAAACATACAAATTAAAGCCAGACATGTGTCTCACATCATAAGCACTGTTAATAGATCAAGCCCAGTTTCTCTACAGAGTTTTCTGTATTCCAATGTTTTCAGCCACTGCTTAATGACATGAAAAAAAAAAATGATGCTTAGGATCAATTGGAACATATGAAAACAAAGCTGCTAAAAGATCACACACGGCTGTGGAATTATTCCCAAAAGACAATTCACAAGCATATTGTTGCTACTCACAGAACTAAATATCTTCTCCTTTCATTCCCCAGTGAGACCTCAACAAGGGAACACATAAAGAAGGTGTGCAGATGTTAAATTAAACTCAGCTTTTATTTTGGCTACAAATTACACACACCTATGTGCACATAAGCTTTTGAGTAGCACCAGCCCCTTAAGGGCTCTGAAAGCAGTGGGGTTAGAGTAACAAGGCACTGCTGGTGCTCCAGCTGCATTTCAGTTACTCATAGGAACTCTTGGAGAGAACTAAAGCTCTAGACTGAAGGGGATTCTGTGTCCTCCTGCAGCAGCTGTTGACATCCCATGTTTGAAAGGAAAACTTCCTCGTGGCAAAGCAGAGAAGTAACCACAGAAAAGCCTCTAACTCTTAATGTGTGGGGGCCTTACCTTTTCCAGCAGGTAATTATTGATGTGCCCACCTATTGGGTCTCCTTTAAAATCGAAGTTGATGTCCATGTACTTTCCAAACCTGCTGGAGTTGTCGTTGCGGTTGGTTTTGGCGTTGCCGAAGGCCTCCAGCACACAGTTGGATTTCAGCAAGGAGGAATGGAAGAGAGAGGAGGGTAAGCCCAGACTTGGAACCCCAAAGCATGGAAAGTCTTCACGGGCATTTCTCAGGAAGGGTTTAGGAACAGAGAGGTGTTCCCTGATGACACACCAGGGCAGATGTGCAGGACAAGAGCAGTCCCAGGAAATCAGCTGGGAGCTTTTGTCACGTCCCTTAGGGCTGAGCAAATGCAACCCAAAGACCAGATCCCCCCTGAAAACAGCATCAAAAATCCAATTCCTTTACACAGGTTAAGTTTTCAAACCAATTTCTTGAATTCTTCTGCAAGTCATTGTCACAATTGTTGTTGGGGCAGCTGTTAGATCTGCCTCAGCAGAAAGCCACTATCTCTGCTCAAAAACCTTGACTCTAGGACTGATGGGCAGATTTTGCATCAGGAGCACACAAGCTGGAAAGGTGATGGAACATGCTCCTCACACCCAACGTGCTATTCTAACACACATATTGCAGGCAACACGCCACAGGAAACAGGATATCTAGATACTGTGGTTTATTTTCAAAGTTTGAGCTTTCAAACTAGAGTTTAGCAATCAATATTGCAAAGTTCTCAAAGCAGTGTCTGAAGAAGTGTGGTAAATGCTCCAAAAATCAGCATGTGGTAAGTCTGAGAGGCCATCTATCAACATGGCACTCCACAGTCCACAGAGGGAGATGCATAAAGCAAACTTTCACCCTTACCTTTCCACCTCAGCCCGCTGCCCGGGGTTGGTGATGGCTGCTATGTACTGCATGATGTACTTGCTGGCCTCTGTCTTCCCAGCCCCACTTTCACCTGAGGGCACAGACACAACAGTGACACAACAGAGCATGAAGAGCAGAGCAAAACCCT